CCTGGCTGAATCCAGCACAACAGCATTGTCTTAACTTCTCTTTTTAAAATGCTTTCAGACCTTGTGTGTAAACATCATAGATTGTATAGAAAAGCACTTGTCCCAGAAATACTTCACATAGGATACTCCATTCCTTAGTCAGACAGGTATGTCCAGAAAATAAATTAACTCAGACTTTGGATCAACAGGACAAACAGATACACAATTGAATGTCCTTGAAAACATCCAGAGAAAATTTCTGCGTGTCAGATCTGAGGAGTCTGAACAGTGAGTTTAGCTGAAGTAGTAAACATGATGGTTGAGAGCTGCGTGTGAGGCTTTAGGCAGACTTGGAGTGGAAAATTGGTAGATAAGAGGTGCAGCTTGTGAAAAGAATTGGTGCCTTTGCATGCTTCTCTGGCGAGCTATCGGTGTACCTCTTGAGCTGGAGATATTTACTGTGACTTGGTTTCGTTTGCCTTTGCCTTGTGGTTTCTTTTCCTCAGCTTTTGCTCGTATTACCTTTTCTTTCTTGCCAGCATGTTGCATCATGGGTTTCTTCCTATTCTTGCTGCTAGTGGACTGCCTAAAGCATTCACGGACGTATTTTACATGCTATTTTGTGCATTTGAGGAATATCTCATTGTATTCATGTGCATGGTGATAGATTCAGTTATCTTTTACTTGTTTAACTTCATGGACTTTTTTTGAGCTTCAGGAGTTTTTATTTGGTTTTAAAGTACTTGGTAGTTTTGCTGGAAGTGACAGCTCTGTGTGTCACTTTAAAGCAACCTGGTTTTCCTTTAGAAGGTGACCGGTTTGCAGGACGTCTTTGTGCTGCAGCATCATAGATCCTTTCACAGCTCCTTTCCTTCCAGTGCTTTTTGTGGCAGGAGGTGATGAGAGCTCAAGCATTTTTGAACCAGAGCAAGGCCTGTGCTGTGTAGCTTTGATTCCTGAATTGAGTACCCCCAGCAATGTGGCCTTTCTTAGTTTCACATGCAGATGTGATTGATTAAGCAAGCTATCTCGGTTGTTTCTGTCTGAGGTCAAGTTAAACCAAGTTCTGTGGAAGCCCTGTGGCTAAGATTTAAAGCTGTATTTCTTCTTTTCCCCACTGACCCTCCTTCCTCATGTACTCCTTGTTCCATATTTTTGTTTTCCCTGAAAGCACTAAGCTCTGGTATTACCAGCCTGTAAACACGGTATCAGAGTTTTTCTTCTAAATGAACTTTTGTCTGGGAACGCTTTGTTTGTTATTGGGTACATGAATTAGTGTTGAGACTTACCATGTCTGTTGTGAAACTGTTAAAATGTCTCTGATATTAATTTTACTGCTGTAGTTCATGTTACAGCATACTTCACCTAGACAGGGCGGCCCGCATGTGCTTATTTGTCATGTGTTCTTTTACCCTGAAACGTGAAGGAAAGATGACAGAAAGTAATCTTCAAAGCAGCCTAGATAGCATTAAATAAAAATGTCTGCAGTATTCTCACTTAGGTTTTATTAGGGCTTAATGATAATTAAGAAACCTTAAGTGTGTGAAATTAAAACAAACAAACAAACACCAACCTCACGCAAACCCCACCTTTATTGTAGAACCAAGTATATTCCAAAGGTTCTCCTATTGCTCTGTAGGCATTTCTGAGAGTGAAAGCTGGAGGACAGGAAATCAGTTCATGCTTTCAGTGTCTTTGTACAAATGAAGGAAGCATTGCAGCTGCTCGAGGAACTTATATTCAGTTTTTTACATATATAGCTTGAACAGTTTAATTTCAAGCACAGAAGAAACTGTTTTTCTAGAACATTTATTGCATACAAGCACAGAAATTAAATGATTTACAGATGCTGAGGAGCTGGTTTCTTAAGCTATGCCGTAGCTGCTGGGGATCACCTGGAGGTTATAATTGGATTGGCAGCATATAAAGACTAGTTCTCTATGATTTAGATGACAAGTTTTCAGTATGTACACTGAGTATTGTTTCTTAATTCAGACTTAATGCTATTTTAACATTCACAATTAGTAAGATTGAAAGCACCGTGATAATACGGTTTCATTATCAGGAATATTTACTATAGGCAAAATTCTCCTTTATTTAGAAGATAAGATCTTCAACTTTGCCTGACACTGTGATTGAGGATGTAAATGGAATTCAATAGTAGAAATGCCTTTTGCAAGTTCAGAAAGTTAATTTGTGTTCATGAAGAATAAAGAACAAATTTGAAGAGGCTGGTGTAGCAGGCAGTATATTGCAGAGCTGCAGAATCATCCATTTACAGCATCCATGCAACTCGTCCCTCTATCCCCACCCTCTTCTTCCAGTGGTGTGCTCTGGGGAGTGCAAGTCTGCAAATCCACACTCCAGCTTTTAGCCTGATTTGTGACTAGTGGGGCCTCACAGTGAAACAGAGCGAACCACGAGACTTGTAATTCCAAGGGCCACTCGTTGGAGCCTAATGCTGAGGTCCTACACCACTGTGTAACCTGTGGTACTGTCTTGCAACCATTTGTGTGGGGGTTCTCCATCACAGTGTTGCATGCCAGGTGTATAATCCTGTAAAATGGGTTAATGTGTGGGATCTCGTATTTGGGGGCAAGTGATTGTGGAGAGGGCTCAGCAGAAGTAACTCAACTTCCTTAGCCAAGGTGTAGCAGGGTGGACAATGAGTACCTTGAGTGGAAGAGCATAGGTTTGTGTATCTAAATAATTTTATGCTCATAACTGAGCAGAGGATAACTAGGGGAAAACGAGAGTGGAGGGGTTTTCTACAGAAAGCCTGGGAAGGCTGTGTTTATTGTATGTAAACTGAGGCTTCTGAAGTTACTTATTTCTAAGGGAGAGGGTGAGTCTCCATACAACTTTTGGCCTCATACGAGGACTTCGAAAATTAAGAAAAGGCTGGTTTAATTCTTTGGCAAAACCACAGTGCTGCTATTAGGTATTTGTTTATCTTGTCACGACACAGTGTCACGGTGTTCTTCTGTGCTGTCCTCCTGCCATGTCCTAGCTGGCACACACTGTAAGTTTATATAGTGACTGATCCGCGATGGTAGTTTGTTATGCTGTTACAATAAACAATGCTGACGTTGGCTGCTGGCTTTCCTCCGTGTATCTCTCATGAACCAGTCATCAAAGGTTGAACGCATGCTCCTGACTGTAAAAACGAACATAGCTCACTTCTACCCACAGTGCTCGTGTCAGGGATAGACACGCGAGTATGTACTCGCTCCTGTGAACCCGCACAGACATGTAAAAAGAATCTTAGTTATGAATAGCTAGAAAGAGCTAGAAAGGTGTTAACTTTATGACCTTTGATGATGGAGAAAGGTTCTGCAGTTCTTGTTTTAGGAAGAAGCGGGGGGTAAGCAAAATTATGTTACTGACGGCCATTTTAAGCAATGTATTTTGCATAACATTTAAGCAAGGGTAGCCATTTCTTTTTTTTTTTTCTCCTTGCCATGGAGATTTTGCTTAGTAAATAGAGAGTAAGCAGGATTTGTTTGCTTATGCTGACTTTAAAAGTTGTTTTTATTTTTTGGGTAATAGCGAACATCAAATAAATTTAGATGAATACATTTAATGAGAAGTTTGTGACCTTTTCTGCTTATAATGGGCAAGTAATGTATTACACAATTAAATAAGTTATGTGCAAGTGGATACGATAAAAGGCTTTGGCTGAGAATATGAAGGGAGCTGACTGCTAAGGAGAAGGACTGCTGTGGAAAATTCGATGTAAATTGTTCTATGAGCAGCATCAAGCAATGAAACACTTCTTTATTCTTTCCGTAGTAGCTATGCAGATTATTCTGGGTCCCCACCTAACTGATGCTTTCCACTGGCTGTTGGGGTGTGTTGAGCTCCAGTCTGGGAGAACTTCCCATTCATATTCTCGTTCTGTAAATTACACAGTTGTGTTCAGCAAAACTCATCTACTGAACACACAATTGCAATTAGGACGTAGCCAGTATTCGTATTACCTACTTCAGTTGTGCTATAACTGATAAAAAAACTGAACTGAAAAAGATGATTCTGCGTGGGGCCTTTTAGTTATACTGTAGGTTTTTAATACTGAGAGTGAAATTTCTGGGCAGGGGTTGAGGGGAACAAAGACTTAACTGTGCAGATGTTAATGAGGAGCTCCACCCAAAAAAAAAAAAGGAAGTGGGAGGAAGTTCCAAGCTAGGAAGCCTGTACATGTCAGTGAGGAGTATAGCATACCTGAGGCAAACATTAAAAGATGAATGAATGGAAGACATTAGATTGGGAGAGGGATATTGGGAAGGATTTTTAAAGTGAAAAATGTAGTTTACGTAATGTGTCAGGGACAATGTGACGAGGGTTACATACAGAGTAGGTACTGTAAACAAAATGTCTTCTAGGAAAATGATTTTTTGCAGCAGTGTCATGAATGAGCAAAAGCTTAGCAAGATTGCATCAGCTGTAGAAAGGAAAACCAGAGTAGCTGGTTGAGAAGAGAGCCTAAACACAATCCTAGTTTGTTGTCAGTAGACAGAAAAACCTTTGTGGTGTTTAGCAGAATGGTGACCTAGAGAGAGGCCCAGGTAATAGAGTTTGTAGCTGTTTTTGCTTGCATGACCAGCAGATCAAAGAAGGCTTTTATACAAAGGTGAATTTATGTTATCACTGTTCTTGTTTTAGGTAAAGAAGATGAATTTCCAAAGAAGCCACTGGGACAGATTCCATCAGGACCTCAGACTGCTATGCTTAACTCCACTCCAGTGCTTAATGGACAGAACAGCACTGGAACACAAACAACAGGAAAAACAGAGAGGAGACTATCCCCAGAAGAAGAACCAGAAAGTTCACCAAATAACCGAAAAATAATTAATTCACTGGAAAAGAAACCTTCCTTAAAACAGCAGAAGACTCGGCCAGTAGAGACACAAAGTAGTATGCCTAAGAATGAGGTAGATACCAGCAGAAAACCTCAGCCAACAGAGCAAGACAACTCGAGACAGTATAATAATGCAGCTGCTAATCAGAATTCTAATGCTACTTCAAATACAAGAAGGGAATTTGTACCCAAGTGGAATAAACCGTCTGATATAAAAATAATTGAGAAGACAATGAAACTTCCTGCAGAGGTGAAAGGAAGGCCAATAAACCATTCGGTTCCAGGCCCACCACCAAGTCCTGGAGAAACACAGCCTTTGAATGTAAAGCAAAAGATGAGGGTGTTGGATGCTGATGAAGGTAAGCGAGGGTCTAATGCATCTCAGTACGACAACGTTCCAGAAGTTGAAAATGAGAATCTTGTTGAAGAGATGCTTGAGAGAGCTCATACACAGAGCCCGAGGCACGTAACGTATTCTAATAGTCCAAGAAAGCAAACTGAAAAAATACCAGCTCCATTAAAAATCCCCAATAATTACACCTTCACTTCACAACCCAGATCTCCAAAATATTTATCACAATCTGATGGACCACCTCATGGAGTGAATGTAAAACAGCCACTGCCATGTTATAGTAATCCACCTACTTACCATGGAAATTCTCCAAAGCATGTTTCCAGTGTAAGCAATACAAGTTCTGTACCTCTGCATTACCATGGGAATCGAACCAGCCCTTCTGGTAGGCCATATGGTTCTTTTATTTCGGTAGATTATTCTTTGGATAAACTACAAATGAATTCCTATCCTGCCGCTCGCCAAAATCCTCTTTCACCGACCCCTGGTCAGATAGAAGTAGCCCCTGTTGATGCTTATACCAGCAACTCAAGGTCTCCCACAGGTGTCAAGTTCATAATCCCTCCGGTGGATTATTTACCGGAAGATAGGAAGTGGCCGGATGCTGCCTATATTTACAGACATGAACCCTACAGGCAGCCCTGGAGCCAGGATGTTAACAAAGGCCACTTGGATAATTTCCAGAAATATCAGCATTTTCAGTCAACACCTTTTCAAGACCATAGTCTTCCTGCTGTTTCTGTGGATAGTCCAGTAAGATACAGGACTTCGCCAAGCTTTGAAGAGCATGGGTCACCACAGTACCAATATTCGAGCCCGTCAGCTCAAGCCCAGCACTATCGAAATAGAAACGATGGATTGTCTATGCATGAATCCGTGCTTCTGTGAGAATCTGTCTGTGCTTGGCAAGAACCAAACCCAGTTAAACACGACTGTGTTAGTAGTAGTCCACCTCAGCTCTTCCCTGAAATGCGGGCGGTTTGCCTGAGACTCCAACGACGACGCTGTTTCCAAGGCGTTTCAGACTTCCGTTGAAGGCTAGTTGAGTTCTTAGACTTGCCTTGAAGCTATCGAAAGCCATCGGATGCACGTAGACGTAGCAATAAGATGATCCACACAATGTGGTTAAGACTGTCCTTGTTCCTTACGTTTAAATACCTTGTGTTAACAATCCTTCCGCCTAAAACCAGTAACACATTTACAAGTATCATTTTGACTGATGTTACTGCACTGTGTGCGCGCGCGGGAGCGCGCACGTAGAGCACACAAACGCGTATGGAAAAGAGCTAAGGAGTTAAAATGTAAATGCATTTAACTTTGGGCAAAGCTTGTGAAGTACTTTTATTTCCTATTAATTTTTCTTTGTAATTTATTTGAGAAGCCATTCATTTTGAATGGGAATTTCTGTCGTTTTTATACAGCCGTCTCAGCGTCCCAGTATCTGTTCTGGGCAGGAGAGATGCTTTGGGATTATTAATTTAATCTTCTGTGAGAGTTAATTTCCTCTCCTTTGACTACTGTTTCTCGTTTTCCTCAGCAAGAAGGAGCAGGCAGGCAAAAGCAGAAAGCCAAAAATGTCTCTCTAATCTGGCTAAGAAACGGTGCTGAAAATTCAGGGCAGTGTTTAGGTTTTTTAGGTGCATCAAAAGTGGAGAATTTTTATCCTTCTCACCCACCTGCAGAATGTAGTCCTATATGCAAAATATTGGTGCACAGTGAGAGTAATGCCAGATGCAGAAATGGTGCTGCACCCTTCACTTTTCGCCATGCTGTGCTGTCAAACTGGTTGCAGGGCCAAATCTCACCGGTATCGGAGAATGACCAGCCCCTTGACACTCTTGTGAAGTACGCGCTAGAGTCTGAGATTTGGTCGAGGCTTGATATTCCCTGAGCTGTGTGAGTATGCCATGTCCCGTCTCATAAGCTTTACGTCAAGTCCATTTTGTTTTGCCCTTTTTTACCCCAAAGAGCCTTTAGGTTTATGTCTGTGATAGGGCGCGTGCTGCTGTACTGTCAGGCTGCTGAGGCTGTGCGGTGTTGTACGCTAAAATGATCCTGACTGTTAGTTAATGGGAAACTCAGACTCCTGGTAATGTAACTATTTTTAATTAGTCTTTGCAGCCTTTTCTACTTCGTGTTTTCCTTTTCTTGACTGTGAAATGGGGGTGAAGAAAAAGTGCAGGTGAAGTGGCATGTGTAGGATGCAGTCCTGCGAGCTGCTGGGTGCCGCGTGGTGAGTGCTGAACGCACTGACCTCTCATTGAATCCAGGGAGTTGAGGCGGATAAGGATCTCACCAGAAGAGGTCCTTGGAGTGCTTAACAGAGAGATTTTTCTAATACTTAAGGACCAGACATTGGTATCAACACCAATTTTGGATGCTTTGGAAGGTTGTCCTGTTATCTTTTGTTTTCTAAGATTTGTTAACTGAAAATGTAGAAATGGTTTGGTTTTCTTTTTTTTGTTTGTTTTTCCTTTTAAAAAAATGAGCTTTAGTGCCTATAATTGCTGCAGGTTGGCTCTGTAAGTTTTAAGGTACAGAAGTTAAACGATTTTTACAAGTGGAAGTAACATTTACTTAGTATATTTCAAAACCTTTTTTTTGTGTATATAATGTGTCTGATGTAATTTTTAATGAACTGGGCAATTTTATATTTTAAAAATTGCAAACTGCAGCAAAGTAACAGTAGCAAAACACTACACTGAAACTTTAAAATTGTGAAGAGAACTGACTTGGGCTTACCTTAGTTCTGATTGCTTGCAGCAGCTTAGAAATGTATGTATATAATATTGTGGCTAGGTGTAATAATCTCAGTGTTTAACCATGGTTCTGTAATTCATAACAAAGCTGTACAATTTGTTTGTGCAAGCAACACAAGGCTCCAAAATATGTATCAGCATTAGTAAATACTGTAGATTTTTATATATAAAATATATACACACTATTTTCTTATGTCATCTGCAACAGTTTTATAACTGTGTATCCTATTTTGATGTGACTGTATTTTTAACATGTTAAAATAATAATAATTAAGCTTATGATGTTTTGTCTTTATTCTTAATTATTTGATTAGCTCAAGACTGGAATTTTGCTCTTCTCAGCACAAATAATTGCTTTTCCTGCATCGTGTATATATATATTTGTATGTCCTATTTAATTTGTGCATGTTTATTTTTAGACTGAGCAATATGGACACAATCTATGCGGTGCTTTTGCATCATTACAGAAGCAGCAAGATTATTGATTATAGTTTACTCCACTGCTAAACCTTAACCTATCATTTGTGAAAGCTAGGAGTATAAACTGTGTTCATAATTTTCTTGTTTTGTTCTAATAATCTCACCCGATGCCAGTTGAAGAGAGAGGAATTCTTGGCACGAGAGACTCGCAAAGTTGCATTGATCAGTGTGCTCAAGTACGAGCCTGACCGTGGCTGCTGTGTCATCATATGTTGAGAGGGCAGTATAGAGCTTTTTTTTTTTTTAAAAAAAAAAAAAAAAGCGCCTTGTGTCATCTGTTTGTAGTGCAAACTACACTTTTATCTTCATTTAACTGGACAAATCAAACTAAAGGTACTGCCAGACTCCAATCTGTCATTCTGAGCAGTAACAAAAGCCCCTCCATGCAGAGTGGCGAGACACAGCTGTGCTGGTACCTTGCTGGTAGAGGGAATCATCTTGGTGTAATGGATTAGGTGTCCTCAGAAGAGCTTTTCTGTCACTGTTTTTGATCTGAGAACAGTCAAGCAGTAAGTATCAACATAAAATACTTGAGACCTTTCCTTCCCGTGGCTTCATAGGTTTCCAAAACCGGCTTGCCCTCAGCTGTTTGAGCTGTAGGGGTTTTGTCCAGGTTAGCTGGCATGGCTGTCCTGGTGCTTAGTGAGACAGTGTCAGGGCGGGGGTTTGGAGAGTGATTGGTGCCACACTGACACACAAGACTAAATAAGGGTAGATGCCCAACTTCTGTATGGCGAAAATTCAGTGAAATCGCACTAATTAGAATTTGAGAGGAAAAGGAAATCACTCAAGTTGTGTGCTGCAGTCTTCTGTGGTTGCTTTTCCTCTCAGCCTGACCCCGTGCTAGATGGAATCTAAAGACCACCGTGTTGGACTGAAGCATTTCAGGCTTCTGCCCTACAAATTGTGGCCGTGGAAAACAGAGAGGAAGGGTCGCAGTACCACTAGCACTCCAAAGCTGTTTGAGTGGGATGCGAATATATGATCAAATTGCTTATCTCTGTAATCAACCCACGTTACGCACTACAGGCGAAGACAGAAGTCATCCCCGCTCCTTCCTCAGCTGACCTGGGGGAAGATTCTTTTCTGACATTGGATTTGGTGATGAATTTTAATCAGCATCCGCTCACTCGGGCATCTAAGGAAGAGAATCTGACCTCGGGGAAATGATCTTACCCTTGTCCTCTCCCCAGATCCAGCTGTGGCCTGTCTAATGCTTCAGGGAAGGCGACACAGAAGAAAGAAAAACCATTTAGCCAGAAGTTTATTAAGGAGGGTATTACCTGCTGATGACTACCTAAAGCCTCTTAAAGTATGATATTGTTTGCAATTGTTTGAGAATGATCAGACCAATGGGGGCAATCCTGTTTTTTTTTCCGGGGCCAGGAAGGAAGGTCCTTCACGCATGTAAATGTTGGTTACCTTCGTAATACCTGACAGCAGGCGTAATCCCTTCTTGTAAAAGTAATGGCTATATCCTCACTGCTGATTGTTAGGAATCTCGGAGGTTGCAGAAGGGAAATATCTCATTGTTAGTCAAAGATACACCTTTGTAATAAACCACTCGGTAATTCCAAATTCAGATGCAAAGATGTAAACAACATTGAAATGTCAGAAGACAGAACAGCCTTCCAGTGTGGGGAAGCAAACCCAAAGCTTCCCTGAGGTACATACACATTTTCCAGGGAGATTTCTGTCAAGAATCCTATCCTGAATTTCACATCATCCTCAATATGACTTTGAAATGGACTTGCAAATTACAGACTTTTTTTAAATCTGCCCCTTGGGTGGCATTACACTGCATGCACAAAGAGGAATACTATTTAAAATATGCCATCAAACGCCCACTGTTTTATTTCCAGCAGAGCACATACTGCTTTCAATACTTCAGTGAGAGGAAAATATAATTTTTTTTTTTTTAAGTCCTTCTAAGTACTGCATTTTTGCAAAGCTCTGTAAGCGTTGCATAGTTACAGTTCAACGGTTACTTAACCAAGTATCCTTTAGGCTCCTCTTTCGATGGCATAAAGCTACTGCATAGTTTGCTGCAGACTTTTGGTGCTGTGTTTTTAGTTTTGGGAATATTAAGGTAATCCAAATGCTTTTAACAGCAGAGTTGCAGTGAGGAGATGACTAGGCCAGCAATTGAAATTTGAAATATAATTGCAGTTGTACCAGGATAGCCTTTGAGCCTTTGCCAAATCTGGTGAGCTGGGGGAAGATACCGTTTTCTGGCTTCTTTGTGCCAAGAGGACTTCCTACTGCAGCAGGGAACGCGTAGGACCCTCTCCCGAGTGATTTGATTCTCTCCACTAACACCGGCTGCCTTTCTGTGTGCTTATGGAGTTAATAAGTTAGTAGAAAATCAATGTTGCTTTTACAAGATCCAAAACCACACGTTTGGAATAATTTGAAAAGGAACATATCTTCTGTCTGTCCTGCCTTCCTCTTTTTGTATGTTTGTTTTACTGGTGACTTCATTGTCAGCCTTGTCAAGGTGAGCTCTGCTTCATTCTTCTGGCTCCTTACTTACTCTGATAATGTGCCAGCTCCTGCTTTTAGAGGTTCTGCGATGCCTTTTTGCTGCTGTTTGTTGTTCGTTGGGAAGATGATGTAGCGGTTAACATCAGAGGTGACTGTTTGCCTCTTCAGCTTTTCCTGTCTTCAGACAACGTGCGAATTAAAAAAAAAAAAAACACCAACCAAAAATCATTTATGTTCTCAATATTATAGTGGGTCAGAAATTCT